GGAAAAAGGATGAACTTAAGGCTGACTCCAAGATTGTGAACCTGAGTAACTGGAAGGATGGTGGTATCACCAGAACAAATAGAGAAGGTTGGAGGAGGAATGGGTTGGGGTAGATCTAATTTGGATATATTGAGTTTAAGAGATCTATGGGAAATCAAGAGGAGATATATGGTAGGTAGCTATTAACATGCTACTGGAGTTCAGGACAGAGATTATGATTGTATATACAGCTTTGATAGTTATGTAGATAGAAAGAATAATTGAATCCATAGGAGTGGATAATACCACCAGGGAGATAGTATAGAAAACAAAAAGGAGAGGATCTAGGACTGAGCCTTGGGGGAAAGCCACACTCAGTGAGGAGGCAGAAGAGGAGAAGTAGGAGGAAGAAGAGGAGGAAGATAATCAAACAAAGGACAATGAGAAGGAACAGTCAAACAGATAGGAAGAAAACTAAGAAAAAGCAGCGTACAAAAGTCAAGGGAGAAGAAAATGTCTGGAAGGAGAGGAGTAACAACAGTGTCAACTACAGAAAAGTCAAGGATGATGAGAACTGAGAAAAGGTCGTTGGATTTAGCAGTTAAGCAATCAGCAATAATCTTGAAGGAGGATTTTCAATCAAATAAAGGGGGTAGAATCCAGATTGCAAGGGAATGAGAAGTGTGTAGAAAGTGAGGAAATAGAGGCAACAGAGATAGTCAACCTTTCTATAAATGTGTGAAAGAAAGAAGAATATAGGATGTTAGCTTGAGAAAATGATGAGGTGAAGTAAGGGAGTTTATAAAGGATGAGAAAGAGTCATGTTTGCGAGTAGCAAGAAAAAAATCAGTTGATCAAGAGAGACTGGAGGTGAAAGAAAGTAAGGAAATGATAAAGGCAGAATTTTTCCAGAGGAGATGAGGAAGAAGGGCTAAAGAGCACAAATGGAGTGGTTGACCTTAGCAAGGAGAAGGCCTATTCATCAGAGATTGAAGTAAAAGAAGAGAGAATAGAGAATGATGAAAAAGGATTTTGAGATGTGGAATTGCAGAAAATCACAGAATTTGAGAGTGGGAATGGACCTCAGAGCCATCTAGTGAAACCTATTCAAAAAGGATTCCCCACTGGCTCTGCCTAAAGAACTCCAAAATAAAGGAATCTATCATTTCTCTAGAGAGTTTGTTCTATGTTTGGACAGTTCTAATTTTCAGAAAGTTTCTCCAGATATTGAGCCTAACTTTGCCTCTTTACAGTTTCTACTCGCTATTCCTACAACTCCCCTCTCGGGCCAAACAAAACAACTCATAAGGAGAGAGTTCATATTTGATGGCCTTCGTTTTCTCATTTAAATAGGAGTCCAAGTTCTCTGCTGAGGAAGGAGGAGGAAATAGTGTAAGAGATCTAAGGAGAAGATTTAAAATAAAAAGTATAGATAGTGTGATCAAAAGTCAATAGGAAAGAAATGAATACTTTCCCTATTTCCTTCCCAGAGTTACATCCAATGGCTATCAATCTAACTTCCAGTAGAGGAGAAGCAATGTAGACTAAACTATAAGCCAGTAGTCTATGAAAAATGCCAAGAAATCACCCACCTTATGAACCAGATGATTTTGGTACTGACATAACCATAGGCCCTAGAGGGTAAAAGAAAAAAAAGCAATGGGTAAAAAGGAAAACTCAATTTTCTTTTTTCTCATTATAATTTAAAATATTTTATTATCACCTTCAAGTGAGTAAGAAAGCATGGAGATATCATGTTCAAGACTGTCATAACAGATGTCCTACGCAAGGTGCACATGGGAAGTCCTCCATATGTTCCCGTTTTCAGATAATATTGTACTAACTACATTGTCTTTCAGGATTTTACAAGGCCTCCTAGATTAGAGTCATGAAAACCTAAAGGAAATAGGCCTAATAATCCTCACAGGAAAAACTAAATGAATGAAAAATATCTATCGCCCATACTAAGACCTACAATGGAATGACCAATTGGTTGAGTTAGTCCATCTGTGTGTGTGTGAGAGAGAGAAAGCGAGAGAGAGAGAGAGAGAGAGAGAGAGAGAGAGAGAGAGAGAGAGAGAGAGAGAGAGAGAGAAAGACTTAGAAGTACCGTAGATGCATAATGACTCGGGTCCAGAAGATGTGAGCAGGATAGATTATATCTGTGAGATTGTCAGTGCTTTAATAATACCAACTGGCTTCTGACACAAAACCCCTTATTTTTAATACAAATGCTGTTCTATGTAAAGGCAACATGAAATAGTGAATAGAGATCTCACCCCAGAGTCAGGAGGACTTCAAGTCCCACTTCCAACATATACTATGTGACACTGGACAAATCACTTGAACTCTTAGTGCCCCAGGTTGCTCTCTAAGACATTAAGCTGCAAAGAAGTTGCCACTCTGCATTAGTAGAATAAGCTCCTCATTGGAAGCACCCTGTGAAGATCTGGCTTCAAAACCAAATTCTCCCAGTAATGTAATTTTGATGCATTGGAACAGTTTTCAAAGAATCAGGGTTGCAGGTGACTCAAAAAGCAACAGAAAGATGCATGATAGGCACAAGTAGGCTGCATCATATGTCCAAAATGTGACACCTGCAAAAAGTTTCTTAACAGATAATAGAAAATGTATGATCAGAAAAGGTTTCTAGACTAGTCATGTAGAGAAAGAGTGAGAGATGACAGATGGCTACTCTCTGACTTCCATACTGGAATCTATAACACATAAAAAGACCCAGAGGAAAACCACCAGCATGTGGGATAGAAAAGCTCTGCAGTATATATGTGAGAACATGAAAAAGAATCACTCAGGATGTGAAGATGTGCGTGAGAGTCTATCTGTGTCAATGGAGGAAGTATAATAATATAATAATAATAATAATAATAATAATAATAATAAATATCATTTATAGAGAAGTTTACAAAAATGACTTTACGAATATTTGAATTTGCAATGTGATTTGACCCTCACAATACTCCTATGAGGTGGGTGCTATTATTATCCCTAGTTTACAGTTGAGGAAACTGAGGCAAACAGGAGTTAAGTGACTTGCCAAAGGTCCCATAGCTAGTAAGTGTCTAAGGCTAGATTTGAACTCAGCTCTTCCTGACTCCGGGCCAAGTGGTCTAATTGGGTTAGGTCTAACTGCAGTGGTTAACTGTAATACTATCACAGATCCATTGAAGTATTTAAGTATTTGAAATAATTGTGGCACTAGAGAAACTAAATTTAGCTCTCACCAGTCACTATGCATGTGCACAGTTCAAATCAGAGCCTGGCAGGCATCATGAGATCTCCAGCAGAAGGATGAGACAGAAGTCAGTTAACATTAGTACAAGAGCTATTTTCCTGCTTACACCTGTGAAGGCTTTCTTTGAAAGTAAATACAGAGGCTAAGAACTGTGAAAATGATGGAGATGGTGAAGGAATTCAGGAATCCATTTCTACTTCTAGTGTCTCTGATACCTAGTTGAGAGGAGGTGGAAAGGGATCCTTGGCTTGTAATAGGGCCCTTCTTGACTATTCTCTATAATGTCTCACTTCCATCTCTGCCCTTTCTCTATACGCAGGTTAAATTATTTTTTTCCTCTATTAATCATGTAATAACCAAATCAAGCCCCAATTCCAATAACATCAGGCAAGGGAGAAGTTTTGGTAGGATGCAAGAATTAGCATCCCACATATACTCCTCTGTTCCACTCACATAACCCTCCCCCCAAAAAAATAACTAGCCAGGATGAGTTATGTAGGCTTCAGGAAGTATTTGTGCAGTTGGTGAGGGAGTATAAACACAGCCTGTGACTGTAGTCTCTGGAGTTCCTATGTTCAGAAATTCCAGATAGGAAGGGCTCTGAGGGTTGCCAGTTTCTCCATCATCAATTTCACAGCACACATTACCCAAATATGTACCAAGACCCAACAAGTCAGGGTCCTGGTACTATTACCAGGGCTCAGAGTCTCTAGCTTTGCAGTTATGAAGTGTGGGCACTGATTAGAGATATTAGAAGAAAAAGCAGCCCACCAACAGGGAAAAGAAAGACACAGAAGCTGCCCTGGAGTAGGGCCCTCATTTCAAAATTCCATACAAATCCACAGACAAATTTATCCTTACTGCAAACTTACCAGTCCCCAAAGCTCCTTGGTACAGAAAGCAAGCCCCGAGTCTAAGGAAACCACATCAAAATAAATTGCAAGGTTAGTAGTTCCTGGTGTTGGGAACTACCTTGCTCACCGTCTACCCTCAGACACAGACACTTTAGTGAAATTATGAGAATGGTTTTAAGAAACATTTTGGGCAGAAATAGGAAAAGTTGAGCAAGAAAATGTAGAAGGAGGAGGAGGAGAGAAAGAGAGAGAGAGCAGAATCGAAGCTCTCCTCCCCAACTCCCTCCTGCAACAATAGAAATAATAGAAATACTTCTATCCCCTGTCCTCTCCTCTACTAACTCCGAAAGCAACTTCTTCCTCTCCCTCTCCCTCTCTCTCTCTCTCTCTCTCTCTCTCTCTCTCTCTCTCTCTCTCTCTCTCTTTCCTCCTTCCCTCCCTCCTTTCCTTCCTCCCTCTCTCTCCTCTACCTCTATCTCTTTTTCTCTCTCACTCTCTTCTTCTCTCTGAATCTGTCTGTCTATTTTCTGTCTCTTTTTCCCTCCTCTCTCTTCTCTCTTCTCTCTCTGTGCTTCCGTGGCTGTGGTTTTCTCACTACGTCTCTCTCCCCACATATCTGTCTCTCAGTCTATGTCTGTCTCTCCGTGTCTCTCCTCCAGCACTCTCCAAATTTCTGTCTCTCTTTCCTAGTCCTAGTCTCTCTCGCCCCTCCTTTTAATTATATGAGGCCCTTCTGATTGGGGCAGCCACGAAATCCCAGAGGGCTACTCCAAGGCATATAACAAGGGCGGGGGCCGAAGTGGCAGCTAGATCCCGCCCCCCACCCCCAACCCGGGTGCTTAGGTGTTGGCGGTGGCGGGGGAGGAGGTGGGTAGGGAGTGAAGGGACTGAGGACAGACGAGAGGAAAAGGTGCAAGAGGCTTCCGAACAGACTAGACACATCGCCTCCTTCTCAGGCGCCCCTCCCCCCAGCACGCCCCTTCCCCAAGCCTTCTGGCTTTAAGTCAGAAAGACGCACAGAGGTTGGGGGGAGGAAAAGGAAAAGGGACAAATTTCTAGGAGTGGAGGGGCTTGTTTCTCCTTTCCTGAAAGCAGCGCTTCGGAACTGCGGGTAGCTTCCTACTGGAAGCTTACATGTCCTGATGAGTGTGGGGAGAGGCGACCTTTTCCCGGACTCCGCGGAGCTCCCCGAGAAGGCAATGGCGGAGCTCAAGTCTCTGTCCGGAGACACCTACCTGGCCTTAACCCAAGGCTACACAACTGCATCTTTCCCTTATGGCTCTGTCCGCGGTGCTGAAGCGCACCGAGGCTACAGCACATCGGCTGCGGGAGACTTTCATGGGGCTCCTCTGGCCAAGGGAGGAGCAGCGGAAAGCAGCGGGGAGCAGAGCGGCGATGAGGAGGACGCCTTTGAACCTAGGAAAAGGAGCCCTGGCTTCGACACCGACGCCAAACTTAAGGCGGGGACCCTGGCCAAGAAGCCCAAAGAGCAGCGCTCCTTGCGCTTGAGTATCAACGCCCGAGAGCGAAGACGCATGCACGACCTGAACGACGCCCTGGACGGGCTCAGGTCGGTAATCCCCTACGCGCACAGTCCTTCCGTGAGGAAACTGTCCAAAATTGCAACCCTTCTCCTAGCGAAGAACTACATCCTGATGCAGGCCCAGGCTCTTGAAGAGATGCGACGGCTGGTAGCCTATTTGAACCAGGGTCAGAGCCTCACCGGCCCTATTCCGGCCGCATTGACTCCCTTTGGCCAGGCCGCAGTATATCCCTTCTCAGGCACAGCACTAACCGCCTGTCCCGAGAAATGTGCTGCCTTCTCGGGTACTCCCTCTGCTCTTTGCAAGCACTGTAATGAGAAGCCGTGATTAGGTGTGTATCTAACCCCGTCCCCACGTCTCCCATCACCACCTTCTCTCCAGTCCCTTGCTCCTCTCCCTCCCCTGTCCACTGCCTTCCAGCCTCCTTGCAATACCGTTTCAGTTAGAATTGCTACAGTGCTTATTCTGATTCCCTTCCGCTCTTCCCCCGCCCCTTCCTCTTCCAGTGCTTCTCAAAATTGTTTAAACGAAAAGCAACAAAAGGAAGGGGAGAGAGGAATACACCAGGCTTCCGACCTCGGTGTAGCTTGCTTTAAACGGTGTCTTATGCAATCGCTTTCCTCGTCCTCCCGGGCTAAGGAAGTCAGAGAAACTTCGCTTTCCTTCCGCACCTAGCCCCTAGCTTTCTAGGCCCACATTGAGGTAGCTCACGCTTTGACACAGAAAATTATTCTTTGCAACAAGTCCTCTTGGGCCTGGGACTGACCATGATGAGCGCAGGTGGATTTCTGAGCGTCCGAAGCCTAACTAGTAAACTATGCAACACGGCCCCCACCAGTAAGACCCAGATCCAGGGACTCAAGTTCCAGATTCTGGGCCCGGCTTCTGTCCCGTGTGCGCTCTATTTCCAGGAACCTTGAAACTTTCCAAACCCCCTGACGCAAAAGTTCAGTGCTGCTAGCCAGGTTATTCGTCTTCCCTCTAACCCCACCACGCCTCATCCTACAGAACTCCGGGCTTGTTACTAAGTGGTTTGGTTTGGTTTTTTTTTTTTTTGGAACTAAGAGGTGACATTCGACTCCCTCTGCCTCATACCTCTTCCCAACGCTTGGCCTTCTCAAACCAAAGCCTTCTGGCATCCTGGACAGGTGTCTTCTTCACAAACCATTGTTTGCACGAGGAATAAATGCTAAGAACGAAATGATTCTGAGGAAAATCAGAGATTTTCAATAAACTATCAGACTTAAGTATATAAAAGTTTGGTCTGCACAGCTGCACTGTAGACCCGGTGGGACCTACGGTGTGCTTGCAGTGTAAACAGTTAGAGATGAGTCTGACTTAGTGGTCTGAGACCACAAAAGTTTTAACCCTTCCAGTTCATGGGATTTTCTTGGCCCTAACCTGAAGCTAGCCCAGAACAAAAGCTAGCCCTAGCACAGGACAACTCTGTGAATGCTTTTGTCAGGACCTCAAAAATCCAGTAAACATTGTGAACTGGTGGTTGCAGTTTCCTGGATCCCAAGGCCAGCACATTAGTCAAACTAAACCTGGAACTTGTCCTCAAGGACAGAGTAACTGCTGTAGCTCAGGGCAAGCTGTGAAGTCGCCATGCCTTCCCATAGCCCGACAATTTGGCACCAATTTCCAATAGAAGATGTGTTGTAACCTCCAGGTGAGTAAATTGTGGTGTTGTCACATCCCCATCCCTAGCCAGGGCTAGTGACATAGAAAGTACTGGAAAGGATGTCAATCCCTTCATTTCACAGATAAGGAAACAGAAGTTAATTGATTTGACCAAGATCATACAGGTAGGAGGCAGTTCATCAAGGTTAAGAAACCAGGTCTTCTGACTCCAAATCCAGTGTTCTTTCCAGTCATCTTTTAACAGGAATTGCTGACACCACATTTTTCCTTTTTTCTTAAAAAAAATTGCTAAGATTCTTTCTACAACTCTCTGTAGTGGTTACAATTTACAATTTTTTTTTCATTATAACCCTGTAAGCATTGTCATTATTGTTGTTGATAATGTGTTAACCCCCATTTTCCAGTGGAGAACACTGAGACCCAGAGAGGTTATAATGTATTTGCCTAAGTCAGTAAAAGGCAGAGATGGCATTAAAACCCAAATGCTCTGGCTCCATATCTCCTGTTCTTCCCACCATACCACTCTAAGAAAACCACCACCAACCACCAGTGTCACAGCCACCATACAACCAGGTACAGTTACAGCTCGAGGGGGTGGATCTGTCTGGGACCATTTGTGTTAGACTCCGGGTGTAACTGTTTGTGGTTATTAAACCAATTTCCACGCCTGTCTCTGGTGTTATGCTAATAGGAAGAGGACAGCGACTGCTACTAAGTGGCTTGTCTATAGTGGTTAACTTTAATGAATACATTGCTAAAGGACTTTTTGTATTTGCAAAGTGAAGTGTGTGATTAAGTCTCATTCATAAAAAGACATATGCTTAGTACTGGTTTCAGCTAATTTCCATTTTTATTCCTTTTTTTTCCCCCTGCAGCAGACTAGTTTATCTATTCTCTTGATTCAGAAAGCTCTGTTTGAAAAGCTCATTTCTAAATCCTTTCCTGGCAACTTAAGGCAGGAAGACCGAATGTAAGCCCAAAGTATTAGGAAAGGCCAGGAAAGCTAAATGATTGTTAATTCTGGGGTCATGCTGAAGTGCTCTTGAATGAGCATTGTAAATAATGGCAACTCTAGATTTTAAGGAGAAATGTTCATTTTGATGGAAAATGTCAAACATACATTTGGCACATTATTTAGATACAAAAAAAACAGGTTTCCATTTCAGTTTCTCTTCAACTTACAGTATAGTAAAGATTTACAACAAAAATTAATTCAATGAGATTTATTCACATGGAATCTGTCATTTCTCTTTTAAGAATCATTAAGTTGGCTAAAATGACTGCTCACTTTTCTAATCACATAACTCAGAAAATTCTCTGGAAAAGCAGAAAATGTGAATACTACTTATCATTTTTTATTTTTACATTTCTGTTTGCTGAGTTTTCCAAATTGGAAATTTTGCAATTTTCCCCTCTCTAAGCTTAAGTTTAAAATGAACTCTTAAAAAGTACATTTAGCTATTTTGGGGAGGGGCTGTGATTTTATCTACATTAGGAGCTTCATTTGAAGGATCTCTCTTCCAATGAAGATCGGCAACTATTCTGCAACTTGTAGTGATAAGGTACTACCTACAGAACAGAGAGATTAAGACTTACCCAGAGACCCACAGCTAACACAGAAGAAGGACTTGAACCTAGGTTTTCCTGACTCCAAGGATGATTTTCTATCCACAATTCCATAGTCCCTTCTCTACCTTTAACTATTCAACTATTTAACCATTTGTACCTGTGATAGGGCTTTGAAACTCCCTCCACAGATGCAGATAGGCCTCTTTTAAATATAGAAAGTTGCCTTAAGAACGTTAAATATCTTGCCCAGGTCATAACAAACAGTGTGAATCATAGGCAGGATTTAGAAGATAGATCTTCTCAACCCTAAAGGCCAAACTCTATCCACTAGACTACCACTGCCTTTCTTAGCTAGTCATCTAGTCTATAAACAACTCCTGCTAAGCTAAGTGTTTTCCTGTGTAGAGGGTGCTAAAGTAGGTATTAAAATACAGCATGTCACAAAAGTCTTAGTGCAGTCTTAAGATTTTCATAGCTTAAAAATTCCTCATAAAGACACTTTTAGTGAAGAAATCTAACACAATAAACCATAGACTTGTAAAAGGTAATAATTAGCAGAATCCAAATTTTCAAACCTAGTGGCATGCACAGTTAAGAGGCAGACAATCTGGTGTAATAGAAAGAGAACTGGGGTTAGAGTCAGAGGGATTGTGTTTGAATCCCAGCCTTGCTACTTACTGCCTTTGTGACCCTAAAGAAGTCATTTTACCTCTGTGGTTCTCAATTTCTTCATCTATAAAATGAAGGGGTTGAACGAGGTCCCTGTGAGAGTGAGAGTTAAATCTATGAACCTAAAGGGAATCTAGAACAGAAAATAAAATACTACTGTTAGTTTGACAGGCAAATGAAAATTTCCTGACTACAAAGTTAATCATGATATGATGCGGTTAAGCACAGTAACTGATTTAAATTAATAGGAAGAAACAGTAGTTAAACTTTTCCCAAGATATGTAGAGTTTCCATGTATTTCTTCACTTGGCTTTCTTATAATAGTATAATTAAAGCAGATTAGATTAGATGATGGCTATGCCTATATAACCCCAAAATAGATAGTTGGAAAAGTTAAAATTCAGTCATCGAATATTTTTCTTCATAACGTCAAACAACCAGATATTTCAGGGGTCCAGATGAGTGGCTGAATATTTTGTATTTCCCTCAATTGTGTGGATTCTTTCCAGGATACTTATTGAGGAAAGAAATGGATCACAAGGGATTACAATTTTAATTTCCACGATCTATAAAGGTACATCTTACATATCCTATCTAGAAGCCACAATGATTTCTTCAGTAGTTAGGCTAGAACATAAATATAATTATAATGTGTGTGTATACATATAAAAACAATGTTTTTTAGCCCATCAAATTTAGATGTTGTCTTTTTCAAGCCTCTTTAATTTATAAATTCAAATTCTTCTTACTTTTCAGAAATGAATACAAATGTTGTTGAGCCAATCACCAAATTTGTTGGTGAAGGATGGGGATATGCCACACAAATATTTAATAGTTTCTCTGACCTGTATTGGTTATATAGACAGAGAAGCATCAAAACTAGTTTCTTTCTTTCCTCTTTCTTTCACAAGAGCAGGAAATTGTTCCTCTGTTTCTGGTGTTGATCCAGATACAGCAGTTCTCAATATGTGGTCAGGGGAGGGAGGGAACCCTGCAAGTCCCCAAGACCTTTGCAGGGGGTCTGAGGTAAAAACGATTTTTGCAATAAGAAGATATTTTAACTTCTAACACAATATATATAAATATAAACACAAGAACAAAAAAACATAAATATAAACACAAAACCAAAAGTTCTTTGGGAAGTCCTCAATAATTTTTAAGATTGTAATGGGTAAAATATAATTTTTTAAAGTGCAGCCAAAAAGTTTGAGAACCATTGGTTTAAAGTTACTCATGCTATGACTTTTACCTTGAGGGTTTTTTCCTAAACTTTTATTTATCTAATATTTCACTAACCTATCTTTGAACTCCAGAAGCCAATGATAGCTAGTATGTATCTCCAGTCATGATGGATAATTAGCTGTTTTGCAGTTATTGCAAAAGTGAGATCTCTGACTATACCTTTCTATCCAATTATACAAAAACTTAATTAACTATAGTGAGACAACCAGTGAAAATGGAAACCTCATATTCTATATTATAAAGGTATGTGGTCAATGCCCAGCATCTTTGCCCATGGCTTGGTTGAAGAATTATTCTTCAGCTCAGCTGGTCTCATTTTATAGAAGAAATTGAGCAGCAGGGAAGAAAACAAAATGTATACTCAATACCGTCACTGCTTAAGGCTTTTCTAAAACAATTCAATGAAGAAACTCGCTCTACTGTAATTCTAAACCCAATCTCCCTACCCTATGCAACCCCAGATAGTATGAGTGGCTTCTAGAAAAATTGAATTTAGTGCTTCTAATTACTATCTATGGACATGTCACCTGGCCAAGTCCCTGCTGCATCCGCTCAATTTTCTCTCTAGATATATTCACCTGGCAATAAAATCTCTCTAGGCAGTTCTTCACTTGCAATTAAAGGCAACTGGGTTAACCAGGCCATGTTTAATGATCCAGGAACGAGGATGCTTGAGATGTCACTAACAAATCTCAACTTGTCCGCTTCTTCTTTATCCCTCTCTTCTCCTAAATCCTGATATCCCAGGTTAACATTCTTCTTTTTCCCCAACCTCAAACAGTGTCTTCATGATATCAAGACCCCTATAGAAAGATAAAAAATTCGACCAATCTGTTGCTGTTCTACCCAGACAGTTTCACTCACTGCTCCTTCCACTCTACTGAATGGATGAGTTCTTTTGACCTAGTGTCTAATTTGATAGAGTGTTAAATGTTAAAATAACACATGTCTATGCACACACACACACACACACACACACACATACCCCTTAAGAGATTTTCATTTTCCAAAACCAGAAATTCACAGAAACTCTTTTCTCCATGTTTATAAGAAATGCTGTTTTAGTAGGCATACATCAGTAGGTTAGCACAGTCAGAAAAACATGCCTTGAAAATATGCCCCTTGAATAAAGCATGATACTGCATGAAATGATTACTAGATTTCAACCTAGCAAATGTAGAAAATGCAGTAGAACTCTTTGAAGTGCATGAGGTGTTTTAGACTAAGGGAAGTCCTTTCTCTACATTACCAGTGCAGAAAAAAAAATCCAGCATATTCTCTTGTACATAATAGGTGCATAATAAATGTTTCTCAAATTGAATAACATTCAATTGAAAATTCTAATACGATCAAGAAAATCACTTTCTAAACACGATTGATCTTAAGGGTAGATTGAGTAGACATCAAGCCATTATGAAGGATATGGAGGAGAGACGGGGCTGCTTGCTTAGAAAGATGTCCCCTACCAGCCTCCTGGGGACCTGTCATCCTACCATTAGAGGTCTGTCCCTTTAAGCAAAGATCGTATCAAGTAGCAAATCAACACTGAAGTGCTTTATTTCAAAGAACATAATTCACTACTGAAACCAGAAACCCAAAGCAAAATATTTCTTATTGTACATGGTCATTTTGTTTTGTTTATTTTCATGGTGCTTGGCTGCAAGACAGTCCTTTGCCTCTGCTGTAACTCACAGAGAAGATGCAAAACTTGGCAAAATACAATTCAACTAGACTTTTATAAATCACCAGAAAAATGCAGTTGTGGATATTTATTTTGCCACATTGCTAGACAGGTTACCATTCAGTTTGGAAGCCTATTTTGCTCAATTTGCATTTCTCTTATTTCCTTTACAGGCTAAGAAATGAAACATCAAGTGAAAACCAGCCTCCTCATAAAAGGCAAATATTATTTTCCTAAAGGGTGAGTGAAAATATGAAGACCATCACTGTCATCTAAGAGTCCAGGTTTGCTTCATCATCTCTGTTGTGAACGAGTTCTTTCTGCCCGGAATCAGAACATAGTTCCTAAGCCCTAAGAATTGCAGAGGACAATGATTGCAGTGCTTTTCCTAATGTGAATTTGTTTGTGACATGTTTCCAGTCTTTAATCTCTTTTGGCATCCCATTTACAGAGATGAAAACAGGGATTTGTGATGTACTGAATTGTTTCTGTAACAATTACCTCTTTGGATTCATGGATCTGTAGCCCTGGCCAGTCTAATGCCTCCAACAAAAGTATATTTAGTAAAATGAGAAATTTAACATGCTTTCAAAATGGAAACTCTATTATCTGGCAGTAAAATTCCCAAATGAAAAACACCTAAGTTAGTGTAAATGCAGTAGCTAACATATAATCTACAGAGGAGAATTAAAAAACATTCCATGTTTTAATATTCACCTCCCAAAGAAATAATCTCAGTATGATTCCCCCTATGAAAAGGATTTTTTTTCTTTTCAAAAGATGAACAAATATGTCTACTTAAAAATACTAATGGATAACCTCTATGTCTTCTCAATATCCTTATCATTAAAGTGTTCGAATACTTATTCATACAAGACAATGTATGAAACTCTAATTACTGAACATTACTCTTTATCTCTCACTGTAAACTTTAAATCAAAATTATCTCTACAGGTCACAAAGCCACAAGGGCTAGAGATTAAGGCATACATATGGAAACTGTCACCTGATGTATATAGATATTATCTCATTTTCCTATTGATGTTTTCATTCCATCATCTTCCATGATTTGTGAAATGTATTTAACCAAATAAGACACAATGAACAGAAAATCATCAGACCTTTAAAGTTGGAAGGAACCTCAGAGATCATTTAATAAGTAGATGTCCCCTGTTAGAGTAGGCAGAAGTCATGGATCTTGCCTAATCCAAAGAACCAAATCAATGAGTTCTTCATTTTCTGTAAGAATTTATTTTCATTTCATTAAAAAAAAAAACCAGTTGTTGGAGATGGTACAGGTAATTCTAACCAGTGAGAATAACTGACTAGAGTCCAACAAGACAAGAAACTTTGTTTCTCTCTATGATCAATGTAACTGAATCATGTGGATACTACCAATATGGGACCAAACTACTGTCTTGCCTTACCTAAAGTATTTCACATAGAAAACATGGCTGAGCTTTTAAAAAATCTCTTTTAAAACATCCCAGTTTATTCCTTCAAGCTCCCTTTTGTCTAAAATAATGAGTCCATAGTCAGTTTCCTTCCAAAGACTTGTGATTTAGTCTGACGGGCCGTGAGACGCCCCAGATCCGTTTGGACTGCATTCGTTATTTTAATGAGACAAAGGCAAATCTGGTTATTTGGCCGCAAACCCTAAGATACAAACAGGAGGATGCACAGTGTTTCCTGATGGCCACAAGGCATCTGACACGATAGATTCTTCTTGCCTCCACAGCAGCGCTTTCACATTTGCCGCATCTACAAAGATGTTTGGTCTTCTCCCGCCCCTCCTCACCTCCAATACACCCCCTTCTTCTGACTTAGGGCAACCCAAAATAGGAATCTACAATTACAAAGTCTCATTTTGCAATTCATACAAATAAGTTGTCCAAGGATCCAGTGACCAGCAACAGCCTCATGCCCAAGACTGAAATTCACTCACCCCAACCAAAGGTCATTCTCAGCTGGGTGCCAGCACCAGTGGGTTCCACCAGCTCCAGCTTGATATTGTATCTGAAATGACAATGAGCCTGGCATATCTGTGCCCTCCCAGTAATCACAGTAATGGTGCTCAGGAGGATTCACCAAGCTGAACTCCCTAGCGATATGGAGGAGAGACTGCCTTCTCTAAGAACACCAGTAAGGGGACAGACAAGTCCTGATGTGCCTTGCAGCAAATAGTCCCCCAGCTAAGATGCTGACAAGAAAACTGGACTAGCCTAAGATTTTCTCCCCCAACCGCAGATAAATTGGGCATATGAATAAAAAAAAAACATCCACTCAATACATTTCAAACCACATCCAGATAAATTATTTGATTAAACTTATGTTTCATATATGCACAAACAAATGAGGCCCTTCTATTTGTTAATGAAAGAATGCATTAGCATCAGAGCTCTGATAAAAAGAAAGACTTCCTGAGCATATCACTTCATTGATGAAAATAATTTTCTTTCCTTCTTTGCCTCCATTAACCTACCAAATTAGGTATGACATCAACAATGACCAAAAATAAATTATATAAAGAGATAATAATTTGGGAAGAAGCTCCCTCAGCAAATTTTCTTTCCTTCTTTCTTTTTTCCTTTTTTTTTTGTCCAAATGTGGGATTTCCTCTGTTCTGAGAACTCTGGATGCAGAAATTCATGCCATTGATATAGATCGGCAACTCATCTGTAATTTACAGTTGTAAAGAGTTACCTGGTATACTGAGACATTAAGCAACTTGCCTGTGGCCATGTAACCAGCATTTGTCAGAGACAAGACTTGAATCTAGGTCTTCATGTCTCTAAGGAAAATTTTCTATCCACTATGCAACACTGCTTCTAACTCTCAATTATACTAGTTTTTTTATTCATGCATTTGACACTTAGGGGAAAATAATGACTTGAAAACTGATGTCTTTAGAGTCTAATCTTGCAGAAACAATCTAAATGCAATATTTAGGCAAACAGGCAGGTACATTAAATATTTTGTATCCCAGCCTCTTTGTTTTAAGACTGTATACATATATGTATATATTATATATACTGTGTGTATGTACACATACATGTACATTATATATGTGTGTATACATATGTATCCAAATTATTATTAAGAAAGTCTTTCTTTTATATGCATATACTCCCAAAAGCATGTATAGATATGCTTTAAGTAGCATATATTCTTTACGCTTTTATGTACATATATATATTACATATATATATGTTTCTTTTAGAATGTATGTATGTGTGTTTGCAAATCAGTATGGTGAAGTGGAAAGAGAGCTGGCCTGACAGCCAGAACAACCTAGGCTCAAGTCCCACCCTGACACTTACTGTCTATACAATCCTGGGTAATGCATTTAACCTCTCAGTGTTCTAAGCAATTCTCTAAGGCTATATTTTACAACAAGGGAGCCAAGAATCGTAGATCAAGTTCCAATCCCTGTGCTCTCATGAGCCACCAAGATTTTAAAATAATCCTTCCTATTTATTTATTTTTCTTTCTTTCTGGCAGTTCTACTATCCTCTTAAATGATCATTGCAGTAAGCTTGATCTCCCCTTATAAATCAATCAAGAAGCATTCATTAAGCAACTACTACATTCCAGTCACTCTACTAAGAGCTGCAAATATGAAGACAAAAGTGAAAACAGACCCTGATTTCAAGAAGTCTAATGAGGGAGACAACATTAACCTGCATACACAATAGAGACAAGATGAATGGAAAGTGGGGATTCACTAGAGAGAAAGGGCATCAGGAAAAAGCCTTTATCTCTCCACTGCCACTTCCAACCTTTAAGAATCAAGGAGAATAATTCTTTTAAGACATTAAAATGAGCCCTCACTCAGAAGTCTCATTTTTTTCCTACCCATTCCACCATGAAACACACATGCACACGAAAGTTCTCCTTTCACTCAACTCATGTCTATAAAACTGGGCTCTGTTGCTGTCCAGCTCCCCTTCTTTGGGTCATATATCAGAATAGAAAAGACCTTGGGAAGTCTTAGAAACCAGTTGATTGGTACAGCAGTCTGGGGATAAACCTGCTAATAGAGAAGACTAGGAAAAAGCAGAAGTCAACATACATAGATTGCATATGGACAACAAACAGAAATAATGAGGAGGAATGAAATCATATGTTTACTAATGATGGCTATAATCACAGAATCATAGTACTTAAAGCTCAAAGGGACCTCAAGAGATCATTAGATCTAATTCCTTGCCTTCAAGAAAGCAAAGTATTAATTCCATTTTACAGGTGAGGCAACTAAGCTTTAGAGGATTTAAATGATTTACCCAAGGTAGCATAACTGGTTGGTGGTACTGTGAATGAGAGTTTAACATGACTAAATTTTGGATATACCATAAATACCATAATGAGATGACAATAGAACTTTTTTTATTTTTTTGCTTAGAAAATTTGAAGGGGGAAGGGGAGAAAAAGCAAGAATTATTTGCTACTTCCAACCTCGTGTTTTTCTTTTAGAAGGGAAGACCCATCTGTACCACCACCATTTTCTTTCCTGGCAAGCTGGAATTCTGATACCTTTCTGGCTGAAAACACCACAGGGAAGTTGAGTGGAAATGGAAAGCACCATTGAAAGCCACATAATTCCCCCTGGTTTTTCCAGGGATTTCAAAAGCAAAAGTCCAATCCAAGGTGTTGAAATAGAGGACAGAGAATCAACTTGGAGTTGGGTAACATCACCCTTTCCTGTGATTCTTCTGGGAACCAAGGGCTTCAGTGAGATCGAGCAAGCTTGAAAAATAGTTAGAAGAATTGTTAATATTAATGACAAGGGCAGGCCCATTTCTTTTTTTTCTAAACACTTGTTTGTATCAAGGCTAAGATCACTAATGAGGAAGAAAAACAACAGATTACAGGCATAATACTGAACATGACTTTTTTAAATACTTTGCACTCTGTGCATGCACTGGGCTATTCTAGTAAGAAAGTCACAACACAGTATGTTATTTGTCCTACTGCTCTGGTACATAGTGTGGCCTCCATAAACAGATGTTAAGGGAACTAGGGGCTGTCATCATCTATAAAAGCTACTTATACATTGCAACAGCTGTTGTTAGGCATTTATACTGGGCAGAACCATTTGAAAAACATAGTTCCACCAACAAAGAACTTGTAAATTTACAGGATGTGTTTATTTACATTCCCTCATTTTAAGCAAGATAATGGTCCCAGACCTGACCCTGAATGGATTAGATCCTGAAAACCAGATAGCTGAACAAGGCTCAGTCCACAGAGCAAGTTTAAGGCCCTGGCCCTTCTCAGTATCTATCACTCCTGATCTCACTCCCCACGAAGTCACAGTCTTACTTGGCATCACCAGTGAGTCTCTGGGTTTAACTAGGAGCAGTGGCTGCCTTCATCTCATTTTACAAGGGCACAAGGCAAAATAAAATGAATTCCATCAGGAGCATGTGTCTTCTAAAAAAAAAAGCAGGGATAGGTTAAGAGGAAAGAAAATGAAAGGTAAGATTAATAGCATTTACGATGGCAGATAGACTAGCAGTTTGCTAATTAAAGATGTTAGAACACAGAAGCAGCCAAGGATCAGTGGCTTTTAATGAGGATGTTGTAGGGGTGATTTTGCTCCAATTTTCTGCTTAATAAGGCTGGTTTAAAAAGTAATTTTGTTGGGATGTGACTCCCCTAAACCTGTTCATTATCAGTGATGGGACTTCTCGTCGACACTTCAGGAAATGTTGTGCTTAATTAATATTGGTCAGCGAGTGGCTATGCTGACAGATAAGGGGAAAAAAATTGATGAAGAACTTTCAAGGACACTGACTTCATTAAGCTGCTTCATTATCAGCTGCATAACTGACTAAATATGTCATTTACAAGATAATGCTAGACTTTCAATGGGTTTCCCCCCTTTTTTTCTCTCCCTCACATAGGTGAACCATTATGTTTCCCAAATATTTTTTTACAAGAGAAAAATAAGGTCAGCAATCTGTCCAGATGTTCTGTCTTGTCCTGTCATCACTAATGATAATTCACAATTTATAGTGCAGTAAGGCTTATTTCCCTTACAACAGCTCTGTAAGGTAGATAGTGGAATCATGATTCCCACCTAATAGATGAGGAAACTGAGGCTTAGAAAAGTAAAGTGAATTG